CTATATCTTTAAACACCTAAAACATTTCTCCTCCCTGAATTTAAACACCCTTGGTCTCATGACTCAGCTCGGATGTAAGGTGTGAAAGTTCTCATGGAGAGCAATAACCCTGCAGCTCCAATAGCAGAGTGCACTTCATTTGAATTAGGGTAGGCGATTGTAAAAAAAATCTCCTTTGCATTGTATTTGCAAAGGCGAGGGCCCTTCTACTCCATCTAATAGTCATTAGCTTTCATTACAAACGTTTGAAGTAGAAGCTGCCCTTTGTCTCGCGCTGAAAGGTCCGCATTTGAGGCGCACAATGACTTCTGGGCACCGACAAGAGGAGCTCCTCATCCTCCCGATGTGTGGAGGACCGACTGCTTTCTCTCAGGAAATAGCCGTTCCTGTCCGCGTTCAGCGACAGAGAACACCGTGAAGACCAGTTAAAGAGCAACATTGAAAATAGGAATCCGGATTCAGCTGGATTTAAAATAATGCGTAATGTATCCAACGTGTGCCTTTTACGCACAACATACCCCATGAAAAAATGCGGAAAAACTGTTGGATCATATCTCCAATATGCAAGCAGGATTACATTGTGTTAACGATACATACACATCAGAAAATACCATCATACATTTGATCAGTGATTTTATTTCTTTATAAATCGCTACAAAACAACTGCCGTAAAGCTTCGCCAAAATGTTCATATTACAATCATAGGTGTATTTTATTCTGCTTTAGTGGAGTTAAAATGTACATTTCACACTTTTTGCACTTGATGATATTCACGCCATGGTTATAAAATGGTTAAAAATCTACTTTAAGATATGAAACACATTGATTAAGCGAAATAAAAAGCGATAAATGCCTTTTCTCGATATGAACACGTTGTTCTCCAGGCCGGTTGAAGGTGTAATGTTTGTCTATGCTGAGCAGCAGAGCAGCCCGGTACAGGTGGCTAAACGACCGCACTTCTCGTGCAGGTGGCACAAACGCAGTGACGTGCTACTTTTCCCATCTCGTTATAACGGGGTGAAATTTTCCAAGTATTTAAGTGGACCAGATTAGCTGAACACACAACGCTAATGCGAAACAAAATGGCCAATTAGTTTATTAATGAACGCAGGAGGTGAGAGGGGAAACCTCGGCTGGTCTCTGACGCTTCAATCTGCATCCTCAAGAAGAGGAAGAGAGAATCATTTTATCTACGAGCCAAATGGTTTTTAAATGATGATTCATTCATGTCTTGAGGATACATGTCTAAAGTTGATCACATATATACCTTGTAAAAAGTTGTCTTATACCACAGTAAAGGAGGGGAATTAATGTGGAGAATTGTTGAATACATTTCGAGATTAAAACATTTAAAATGAGTTTGGATTGTTTCGTTTATTAAGCGCCCCCTTTACTTTGTAGAATATATTAATTTTTTCTGGAAAGCTTAATTTCTGTCTCTGTTCTGAAGTATTTAACATTGACATCTAAAGTGCCCCTATGTTGAGTTCACATGGGTTCTGTATACTTGTAAGACTTACTAAGACTGAAAACGTTTTAACCTCCAAGGTTTGAACTTATGTCAAATCAGGGTAATACTGCTCATTTTCAACTGAAACAACCGGGATTGGTAACTAAATTGAAACCTGCTTAGGTCAAAGGCTCCAGTTGACCTCTGAAGGAAATCTTTAATTTAAAAACCTGCTCTGACTCCTTTCCACCACTGGATGGCAGCATTGCTCTAAAAACAACAACACCGTGAATCAGGAGACTGATGAGAGAGCTCCTCTCTGGAGGTATTATGTATACATGCTGATGGAGAAAAATATACATTTGTTTCTACAAAAAGTGTATTTTAATGTACTTTATCAAATTCCTTGCTACAGACCTTTGTAATTGGAAAAAAGGTTAACAATGTTTGCATGTTCACGTTGGTCCTTTGGTATGTTTTCTTTACCATAATGCATTTTAAACTTATTTTAATATGATTTTAGTAATACATATTTAAAACTGTCATAAAGTAAAGTATATGGGCCAAACTCAATCATACTATAATTATACAATTTATTCATTTATGAAGTCAGCTAAATGCAATGTAATGTAATGTAATGTAATGAAGGCAGGTGTCTGCAAAAGTCACATTTTCTCAACCCTTTTCCTTTGTAGGCCACTAGAGGGCAGCACTAGTATGAAATCGCGCCATCTGCCTTCTCTTCGTCTTTGTCCCCCCTTTTACCATGACCCCCATTAACATTAACAAGTAGAATATCTTGAGCAGTGATATTTAGTTCATGTGCAAAATGTTTGGACAATGTTATAATTGAATTTTTATATTTATAAGAGCAGACTTTAAAGATGTACACAAGACACTTTTTGCAATAACTATTTGGTCTGTTTAGATCAAAGTCATTTGTAACCCTTTATAATTCTTGAAATGGTCTTTACGCTATTGTAGTATTGTGATTATACTGGTGAAATAAATAGAAATAATACAGTTAATTACATTTTAATAATTTACAACTACATAATTTGGTATTTTTAATAAAAATTGAATAGTTTTAAATTACAGTCATGATGTTTCCAGAATGATGTCCTTTATTTGCTAATATTTTCAGTCAGATATTTAATATAAAGGTTGTTACGTTAAATATTGTTTCTCGTTCTTTATGTATTAACAAGTTGTGGTGTTTAAATGTTTCTCTGTAGATTTCTTTCCCAGATAATACACGTTTATGGGAAAACATGGTAAAGCTAGGGTGAATTAACACTTGATAAATAGTTCATTAAAATGCTTAGAAATATTTCACAAATACTGGAACTATGTTGAACTGGTGCACATAAAAAAAATGTGACCTGCTTTTTATGATCTTTTATATTCTATATTTTAGATTATTTATTGGCCAATGTGTAACATGCTGTAATCCGTAAATTAATAAATAATCTGAAGACATTATGTCATCGAGTTTGATACAGAAGATATTCTCGCGTAATTGTCGCACACGCAGTTAAATATCTCAGGGATATTAAACTAGAGGAATGTCACTATAAACCTATAAAGGTATTTCCACTGCACTGCTCACTTTCCTCTCTTTGCTCAGACTCTCCTCCGGAGCCTGGGGGGGGGGGGGGGGGGGGGGGATAAACAGTAGGTACGGAACAAAGGTAGACTGCTCTGCTTTGTTTTTGTTAATGCAGAGCGATTTGGACATCTATTAACCAGCAGCGATCAGGGTCAGTGCGTAAAGGCGCGCAGGGTTTCATCATTAAACCCAACCGGCTCTTTCAGCCCGTGAGTTCCTGCTGCTGCACAAAGACAGTTCAAATATAACATCGTGCAATACATAGTCATGTGACCTTTATATTTATCCTGTAACCTTGCACCAAAACATAATACTTTTAAACGGAAAATGTAGATTAAATGAGTATATTTGTATCCTGAAGCAAAATAACTCCACAGAACAACATGAAACTGTCTGGTATGGCATTCATTTAAATTCGGTGATCATAATCAACATAAATACGCTTTTTAATACGATTTCAATGGGAAGTTAAACAGTGGCTCTTCTGAGTCATGCAAGTATAAGGAAATACATTTCCAGTAAAACTGTATCAAAGAGTTCAGGCCTCACCCAGTAAATAAATAAAGATGTTAACATGTAACACACACACAAAATTCACTGGTGGATAAAATGTTTTTGCTTTTTGGAGACCGAGTCACCTGCTGCCGTCTTTAGGAGCCTTTAGCTCTAAAAGCCCAATCAACAACTTGTTTTACCTCATAATTTCCATCGGTAATGATTTTCTAATGCAACCTCCAAGCAAACGACTGTATTAGGAGGATAATTATTAACTTGGTTAGTGCACCATGAAGCGGAGCGTGAGAGGGAGAACTAAGGAAGCCGGTGAGCTGCAAACACAATTACAGGCTCTGATTGTTCTCAGAGGACACACTGGGTGCTTTTTGGTGTTAGTCTCCCTAACAGTGGAGAAAATGTTTAGGTTAAAACCCCAAAACATCTAGAAACTATTTTCGTGTTATTTAATTATCTCAATATCTTGTTATTGTTCGTTTTTTAAATAACATGTAGGCTACAAACATAACATTATTTGAACAAATCTAATGCGTAATTTAAACACCTTTACCCACCACGATATCATAAATAATGTATCAATTCATTAAATAAAAGGACAAATAAATAATATTAAAGAACATTATTATTGTTATTATTATTGCAGTAAAAACACATTTATCCGGTAGTTCAACGATACTTTTTGTTCACAGTGCACGTTTAGTTCAACGTAATTCCCACAGGAAAAATAAATTAGAAATTAAGAATGAAAAATGCCAATAAAGACAGTAAATTGTGCTTTTTGCTGGGACTTTGCATGGGCCTATTGATGCTGGACGGACACAATGCTAATTCAGTGTGCACGTTAACCTGAATGTAAATCCAATTCAATGGAGAATATGAGTTAAATTGACTTCAGTAGCATGATGTTGCAGAACACTATTAATAGAAATTGCATGTGTGACCTTTACAGCTTGTGTTTTAAAGACTATTTCAGACAGCTAAAGCTTATGTTCAGCACAGATTAAACATGATAATGAGGGTAAAACACTGCTATAAATTATTAAAACTCTCTTTCCTGCATATAGTCAAATTACAGATGAAGTTTAATTTCCTTAACGCTATATATCACTAGAGAATTCCTGGATGATTGAACCTGCACCGAATCGGTTGGAAACGTCTCCACCCTCCACTGTGTCCCTGAAGAAAAACGACATATTACGCCCAATAGGACCCACAATGAGCTCTTAATTGGGGCGCGCATGTTTTCTCAGCGTGTCTCTGTAACTAAGCGGCCGGGTCCTGTGTGATCCATAGAGCAGGTACTTGAGGAGAGCAGAAGTATTGGCAGGTGCTCTGGTCCAATCAGATGCCTCCCTGCGCAGCGTCAAGACACATTGAAGGTTGCAGGCGCGTTACTTGGCGCACTGAAACCCTCAGAGCGCGCAGACTTCTTGGATCAGGGCAATTTGCAGCAGCAGCAGCACTGTTGAGTTTTGCAGCAGCATCTCTACTGCACGAGCTTAAAAACACTCTTTGGTCATGGTGCATCTTTGAGACTTATTTTCCAGCAAGAGGAAGAACACTTCATATTTTCTTCTTGGTTCCTATTTCTACAAGAAGACGATGTTTTCGACTGCAGGAAAGCGCTGCTTCACGATAGAGTCTCTGGTCGCTAAAGAGAATCCTCTGATGTCCGAGGAGCCCATCCGCCCCACGGCTTTAAGTTACTCCAACCCGACGACAGATGCCTTAATGAACAGTTACCAGCATCCAGCGGGCCGGACCCTATACCAGAGCCCTGAGCTGGTGTTCCCGGACACGGTGAACCACCCCTCCCTCACCGTGGCCCCTCACCAGCTGGGAGGCTCGCACCACCTGCAGCATCCGCACTTCTTCGGCTCGCAACACCGAGACCCGCTCAACTTCTACCCCTGGGTGCTACGGAACAGGTTTTTCGGACACAGATTTCAAGGTGAGTGAAGTGGGGATGATGCAAATTACGCAATATTGTATTCAACCAAAACATTATACAAGCTTTTTCCATGGGTGCAATTATTTAGGCATGAATTATCATCCTAAAATAAACTATTTTCTGCACAAAAATTCGGATTTCTGTGTGTGCATGGGTTACCTGTGTGAACAACAAATTAAACCACTATTTCAGGTTATAAATCGCTTTAATCTTTTATTTTTCTTGGATGTACACTGTTGTCAACATTGAACATATCTTAGTTGGACGATAACTTGCCGGCACAGATAGCCATAAACCGAACAAGGCCACGGCGCTAGCAGCAGGCTGCCCTCATGTTTCCACTCTCAGTCGCCCTGCAGCTATACTCTCAGGAAGCCATAGCCAGGAGTAGATAAGCTCTGATCTAGATTTTCTTTTCCATACAAGAAAATCTAGCCTGAGGTTAGGCTCATTTCATTTAAACACAACAGCACGGCTGACAAAAATGATAAAAATCGAAGAGAGTAATTTAAATATAATAGGAAAAGAAAGGAACAAAACTGCAGGTTTAACAGCAAATTATTTGAACACAGCCTGCAGTGATTAACTTAACCTCAGATCAACAAACCCAAACAAATTAATTAACCCTGTATCCATCTATCTAATATAGTTTAAGACAACCTTTATTTTCATATCACTTTTTATTACATTCAAAAAGTTCCGGGGAGAAAATGTATTTTATATAATAGAACGATGCAAAGCATTACAATTAACATGATTTATTAAGGAAATTAATATAATTGAATTTATGCTCATTTGTTAATATCCCATAATTAACTTTAATTAGGGCTATTACGATACAATATAAAAAAACATATTAGCATATAACAAATACAAACGACTTCAAAAATCTAAGTGTTTGACAACAATAAACATCTAATTTTAGAATATTTTCGATTTCGGTTACAACGTCCTGACTCAATATATAGGAAGTGTAAAACGGGGAAAGCTAAATGGGCTACAGATCAATTAACCACAATTCTCTGTCAAAATAATCACACCAAGTGATCAAACACCTTATTTCGTTTGCTGTCAGGAAATGTAATTCAATCAGAAGAATACAATTGTATATTATTATTAAGACATTACAATTCATTATAGGCCATGCATCTAATGTTTAATTTCTCTTTTGAAAACCATACGGCGTCCTATATGTTTGATTATATTTTATTCAACTCTTTTGAATGATTAAAAAAATTAATTGGTCAACAATAAATACGGTTTTAGGCTCATAATGATTTTTCTTTATCAGGTTTGTTCAGCATTATGAGAGCCTATTTGAAAATGTTCTCCGTCCGTGCCCATATGTATAAATGAGTTGTTATGCCTTAAATGTGCGTTAAATTACACACTTAAAATGAATGATTTTCCAATAGGTCTAATATATAAAATGAAAGCAATAAAAAGACAACTTTACATGGAAGCAAAATGGTCTCTTTCTAAAAACAGCTGGTCATATACTAAAAATGAATTTGATATACAACTGTTTCCAATAGGCCATAATTTATAGCAGCAAATATTTGATTACCTTGTTATTATGCTAATTGTTAGAAATTATCTATTTGTATTATGATTTATAATGTATATTATTATAATCAGGTAAAAAACCAAATTAATAATAATATCGAAATCTTTATATATTCAAGGTTTTGCTGAACACAATTGCTTTAACAGCATAATTTGGTCCCACTTTGCAGTAGAATAGACCCACTGTTCACAGTTTTCTATTAATACAGTTTTCAACAGACGCACAGCCTACCTACCTGCCCAGATAAAATTAGGTGTAATGATAATAAAGTTACCTTACTGACCGACTGACGGCCCATGTTGTTCTCTTCCTCCCCGGTGTCAGGTAACGATGTGTCCCAGGACAGCATGCTCCTCCACGGTCCTTTCGCCAGGAAACCCAAGCGCATCCGGACCGCCTTCTCCCCTTCCCAGCTCCTCCGCCTGGAGAGAGCCTTCGAGAAGAATCACTACGTCGTCGGAGCCGAGAGGAAGCAGCTCGCTAACAACTTGAATCTATCTGAAACACAGGTGAGCTAATGCTAAGCTAACATTTACAGCTGTATGGAACGCTGTTGAGCCAGAGCCCTATATTGATATTAGTATAGGGCTCTGTGTTGAGCTAATGCTAAGCTAACACTAACAGCTGTATGAAACACAGGTGTGCTAATGCTAACACTATGCGAATAAGTGGATTTTGCCTTTAAGTATGGATTTTTCAAGGAAACACGGCTAACTATCACTTTCTAATTGTTAACAAACATTAGTTGCCCACCTTAAAGCACTAAAGTAGGTCCATTTTTATAATTTCTAACTCATTTCACGTTAGTTTACCGAAAGCAGTCATTTCCATGGCAACATATTTTCCCGTTACACCCCAACCTAAGTTTTCTCGCAGTACGTACAATATCGCGATATTTTAACGACAACATCATTATAGACTACAATAAAATGAATGCATTAAGAATATTTCTTAAAAAGTTATATATTTAAATATATAGGGGGGTTATGTCAACTTTTATTTCCGATATATTTAGCTCAGGATACATCTTTGTCCATGAAGGCTTTTATGTGGCAAAATATCAGGGTACTACAATGTTAAAGAATAGGAAACCATTTATTTCCAGTGTGAAATGATCTTTCATTTGCTATAGCTGTATTGTAAACTTTAAAAAAAATACATAAAACAGTGCAACTCAATTTAAATAATACCCTTCTTAGAGCATGAGACAACGAGTCTCTTAAAAGGTGTTTAATTAATGCGTGCTATAGAAATAAGGTGTGTAAATATTATTGATGGTTAAGTTTAATGAGTCCACAATGTCTGGATGTCAATTAGGCCTAATAGGCAATATAACCAGAGGTTTCCTGAGTCAGCTTTGTGGATACATGCTGCTTGCAGGGTTTGTGTCAGTCAATAAGAGGCTTGCAATTAAGCACAAATTGCATTATGCTAATTACAAAGAGATTGAACTGAATATGAATTGACCTACTCTAAGTAGTTTTGATCTGCTGTTACTTTAGATTAAGCACTCAAGGACACCAGTAGAAACATGTGGACTATTGGTGGGATTATATTAAATGAGCATTATTATAAGTCAGAAGAATAACTAATGGATGCTAAAATAAAAAGCAGCCAAAATACTGTTACAGCTTTTCTGTGGCTAACACTTAAACAACGTCTTCTGCACTGCCTCCATTTAAAACAAATAAACAAAGATACTCACAGCTCTAGGAAAGAAGACATCAGTGTTTCAGTGACAACTAGAGTTAGCCCGAAGCTTGTTAGAGTCAAGAGGTAATAGAGAAGGAAGCGTTTGTGTTGCTATTTAAAAAATGCATCATGGCTTCGTCCATGTTACGCCGCGCTCATTTTCTAAGGTCATACCAGCAACTCTAGTCAGTCAGAAAGATATGTTGTCCGTTGACCTTTCATGCACTAATGCCATGCTTAGTTATGAACGCAAAGAGAAGAGGTTGTTTTGCAAAAAGTGATGCTGGCAAAATCCAAAAGTGTTAGTTATCGGAGCTTCATTTAAATGGAGAAAAGCATTTTTGTGATAAGTAGTGGTTTTACTTATTTGAGTTTTAATGTTAAGGTTCAGTGGTTTGCAGTAATTAAATGTTGAAAAGAAAATTAAACCATAGACATTTTAACAGTTAGAAAATCACAGGTTGAACTGGAAATATTACCCAATTCATAAATGAGTTGAATGATAGAAGAATAATATTTTTAAAGCAAAAATGCCAAACCTTTTCAGGTTGAAGCCTCTCAAACAAAATTATTTGCAGCTTTTTGTCCGTTTCACAACATTGTCAATTGTTTGTAATTGGTATTTCGACAGTTTGCCTCAAGGGAATTCAAGACATCCCCATGTAATTAAGAAAATCATGCATCTTATTTTTGTTCTGAAAAACAGGGCTATGGGAATGAATGTGTGTTATGGCTGTCAACAGACACTGTTCTCTTTTTAATCTGTCAACAAAATGAAAACATATTTTGGACCTGGTATTGTCCAATCTTCTGACTCAGTTCTGGAAATATATGCAAAACTGTATATTCATAAGACAAGGATTATTTGCATGTTTAAACATAAACGGCCATGGTGTAATCTATTAGATAATCATTGACCCTTTTCACCTGGGGTGCCACCTCTTTAAAAAAAGTGCATCATGATCATTGACACTGTTTGTTTTTGTGCACAGGTGAAGGTGTGGTTCCAGAACAGGCGGACTAAGTACAAGCGACAGAAGCTGGAGGAGGAGGGCCCGGACAGCCAGCAGAAGAAGAAGGGGAACCACCACATCAACAGATGGCGCATGGCCACCAAGCAGCCAGGCTCCGAGGACATAGACGTGACCTCGGAGGACTAAAACCTCCCACAATGCTGCCCTAAAAACCAGAGGACCAACACTATTTATTATGTAATATTATTAAGTATAACTAGAGACATTAGAAAAAGGACTAAATCATCGCACATCTCTTCATCGTGGTGACACTGGAGAAAAACAAACATCTTATTTAATGACTTCCATCCTGAATGTCTCTGAATGAGGATAATAATCTTTGGTGAGACGACCAAAGATGAAGAGAAACAACATCTATCATAGTCTGTTTTTTTTAAATATTGTACATAGTCCACGTATAAAGGTTGTTTTTTGAAAGAGGCTATTTGTTTCATTAAAGCTGTTTCTACCACCTGCTTAGGTCATTAACACCTCATTGCTCCCCCCATTAAATCGGCCACCTGTGCACCGACTTCATTTAAAATTCTCCTCTATGACAGGAAATGTTTTAATCCACCAAATGAGCCGGAAGACAGGCTTTCCAGAAGAGCCAAATATTCAAGGAAGATCCCAATTTGCAGCGTGATTTTATTGTCAATGCTGGGACCCGTTCCTGCGCTCCGCTCTGCTTCATAATGAACATTTCTGCACAAAAAAGGCTATTGACGACCAGCTGTGCGTGACTTTGGGACAGACAAGAAGCTGCAGAGACCTTAGAAGTTAGGAGCGAGTTGTGCCACACATTAAAAAGGATTTTCACAGCTTTGTGCGTCTTCTGCCATGCCACATTTGTCATTTGTGGTGTGATGGATGACTTCATTAAAGTGTAGTACAGAACATATAAGAACATACTTTTCAAGCAGCACATGTGAGTAGAAAAAAAACATGTTTTAGAAATAAAGCTATTCTCATGAGACATGTAATGTTTTTGTGTAATTCAGCTCTCACTTTTTACATAGTGTCAAACAGCCTGAAGAAGACTGCATTGTTATTTTTTTATCCAACAAGATTGCAGCTGCAGATTTCACCCATTAGTTCCTCTGCGGATGAAGGTGAAGGTGAAGGTGCAAATCAGTGTGAAACATGCTGCTGCAGCGTTTGATTGGAACAAAAACCCTGCTGACACTCGGGCTACTATGGCACATGAAGTTGTGATCAGTGAAATTCAACAAGGGTTGTCCCTGTTCAGGTTGTTTAATGCATTAAACCAGAGCTAAAGGGTACTCGTACAACCAAACAAAAAGTAAAAATAAAAGGTCTTGCTTAAACGCACAAAATGGCTTCTATTGCTGTTATTGCAGCTTTTGCAGTGTTGCCCTTGCAGTTTGGCAAACATAGGATGGAGGGGAACGTGAGCTCAGTGTGTTGCTCTGTTAAGATGCAGATGCTTAAGAGGTTTTTACTGCGAGCAAAATAATCAGCCAAAGTCTCCTCTCCAAAACAAATGGACACACAAGTTAAAAGCGGTAAAAACATTGTAACATGCACAGTCATGCTAAAAATCATTAGGGTGTGTTTCTCCAATGATGTTTGTATGCCGCTAACATTTGCTACTGCATTCAAACTCAAAATCAAGTCAAAGCTCCAAAGTAATATCACCAAAATAGACTCATTATGCAGAATGGCCCATTTCACTATCGTATTGTTTTTCTGTATTACAATCAATCTCAATCTTTATTTATCAGTGATACATGAATGTGTTTATCACTGTAATATTGCAGCTTGTTAAGGTGGGGCTAGCTATAATGTTTTCATATATTGCTGGGTAGCTGATAACCTATTCTAATACACCATGATTTACAGTATTATTTTATTTATATGTTATATTAATGATTAATCTGCAACATAGTTACAGCAGTCAAAAATGTGTAGCAAGCAGAGAAAAAAGTACAAAATCATGCATTCAAAATGTATTGGAGTAGAACAAAAAGTATGATTAAATTGACATTTTAAAGTAAAGTATAAGAACTTGCTGTTGCATTCCACCAACAGGTACAAATATCTTTCATGACACCGGTTCTAGGTTGGGGCTCATTGATGGAGACCGAGGTGTCAGAAAGGTGCAGGACAGTTGCACAGGTGTCAGGTGTGTTACCGGTATGTCCTCTGAATTCCAGCAGAAGGGGGGGGGGGGACGACACAGAAAAAGTTCCCATCCACAGGGTGCAGCCTCTGGAAAAAGAAAGAAAGAGGGAAAGTAGTTACTATTGTGCGGCGGCTCTTTCACCAAACAGCCTCAGTAATCACCTGTCAAAAGAAACGGAAGGAATCTCCTCCTAATGACCCCGAGGCTTCAGAGATGAGCCCTAAAGTCTGACCCTGATGTCTTGTTTTGTAAGCTAAGAAACACAGAGAGAGAGAGAGAGAGGAAGGGGGGGGGGGGGGGGGGGGGGGGGGGGGGGGGGCAGGGGAGGTAAACTGCAGTGGTCTTGCAAACATCTGCAGTTGCAAGAGGGGCCTTGTTTTGAGTTCCCAGGGTATCCTATACTCCCTGCAGCTGCAAATACACAATAACTGAAGTTCATAAACACCAACAGAGGTGGGTTTTAAGCAGGACAGTTACTTAAACTCTGAAAGCACTATAACATACTATGGCTTGGCAATAAGTCAATATCAAATTAATATCGTCATATGATATGTCTTTCCCTGTTTTTAAAGGCTTTACAGTGAAGTGATGTAATTTTAAAATCCCCCAGACTGTTCTATTGTTCGCTTTTTCCCACTTAGACATTATATTCACATTACTGATGATTATTTATCAAAGAATACCAAAAGTCAACCGTTCATTATAGGTCGCAGTATCAACATTGTGATATTTGATCAGAAATATTGTGATATTTGATGATCTCCATATCGGCCAGCTCCTAATAGTGGAGCAGGAGGTGTGTTCGAGGCCAATAAGGTCTCCGTTAGGTAAAAGGTCAGCACGATTACCGAGAGCCGCACCTCTCATTCGCCTGTTAGGAAAACAATTAGGGCGGAAAATCACGCCTGTCTCCCTAAACGCTGCGTCTCCTGTCGCCTGAGTCAGCAGAGAAGGAGAGAGCAGAGAAAAACAAAGAGCTTCTCCAGAGAGATGCGGGGGGGGGGGGTGCATCAGACTGCTGCTGTCCCGAAAGACAAGCACTGGGTTGATTATTACTGTCTGATTACCGGGTTTCTGACAGGATTAAAAAAGCCTTATTTTCTATGAGCAACAAATGACACATCTTTAATTGTTGGTTTTAAATTGCATGGAGCTTAGTCACCATTTTATATTGCATCAATAAATGTATTTCTGCTTATATGATCTAATTTGACGTATGAGATTACAATAAGGAAAGTTGCAATTAAACTAAGCGTGCTAAAGATCAAATAAAATTGGTGCTTTTCCCCAAAATATAAAGTTATGTGTCATTTTAAAATGTAGATAAAAAATATCTTGAACATTCTTGGGAATGTGTTGGTCTGAAAAGGTAAACTCACTAACAATTATAATTTGTATTGAGTCATAAAATACATTCTTGAAATATAGTCAGAGTTAAAAGCCATCAGGTAATATTTCAATAAAACTTACATTATTACAGTAAACTTCTAAGGGTAAACACACATGTGATTACAAACACAACAGCCATTATAATAGTTAAAAGCCTATAGGATTGATAATTATTTGGGTTTTGCATTTGTCTTACCCGAGTTACAGCCAGCATCCTCCGCTGGTGCTGCATGTGGCTGCTTGTCAACGTGCGTTCCCTCACACATCACACAGATCATGACAAAAGATAACACTTGTAGACAGGAAGTTTATATAAATCAAGTCCAAGTACATACACAAAGCAGCATTTTACAATAGAGATTTAAAAATAAACAATATGGAATACAAATCTCCATATTTTACATTAAGACTTGTATGTGTATATAAAGTATTAACTTGTTTTATTACAAAAACTACATTCATCATTTAACTACATTACAATGTTTTCAATACAGGCTTTTGTGGTGAAAAAAAAAATCACATTGTCATTGGTTTCCATGAGATATACATTTGTTTAAAACGTATTGCAGTTCACAGTTCGAGTTTACAAGAAAGGTTTTTAGATGTAGACGCACTATACCAAAATCAGGCAGAGTAACTTTTCCAGTTGGCTGAAACCATTACATAGGAGGTTCGCAACATAGGGGTCAGCACCCCTACAAGGGGTCGCGAGAAAAATGTGCTGGGTTGCAAAATGATTGCCCAGGTAAAGAAATCAGAAAAAAACAAAATGAAGTTCATATTTTGGACTTTACAATTCGCTTTTTTCTTGAGCAATATTTTTAGATTATCCCTCTAGACATGCAACCTCTGACATCAGGTCGTAAGACTGGCATTAGATTTATATAAAAAGCAAGAGAAGGTCGGTCGTTTCATTATAAACAAGAACAAAAAACTATTTCACAGGAAATGCATTTCAGTGATTTTTCCTGATTTCGTTTACAGTATTTACATTTACAATCCAGAACACATGGTCGGCTCGGACTGGAGTACAGTAGTACATTTACTCAAATGATGCACAATTTGGAGGTACTTTACTCCTGCACTTCAGAGGGGCTTGACAATATGATGATTCAGATTCTCATCATGCAGGAATTCACTTGTAGAGCGTTTTTCACCGTGGTAATATTACTTTTACTTTGAGTATTTGGTTCATCACTATCTAATCCACTAATTATTCGTCAAGTTGTTTTGAAGTTAACCTCAAAATGTCTTTTACAGGTAAGAAGAAACCAGGCAAGCTAATAGAAAATAGTTTTTGATAGTTGCTATTCGAGTTACTCCATAAATATCTTTTGTGGCTCAGTCACATGATGTTATTTTGTTGGTCGGTGTGCATGTTTTAACAGGGATAGTAATTCCTAAAAGGTGTCGATATGTGTTATTTATTATATATTGTCTTGGCAAAAACAACGTGTATCCTTTCTGTAAACATATTCTTACTTTTCACAGGATAACGCAGCCAAGTGTTTTGCATAATTCAGTCTTCTTACTTTATTCCTATCTTTAGATGTCTGGCAGAGCAGATCACTCACAGGCCTTTATTGTATGTCACAATCTTACAATCTGTTGCCATGGCGATCTCTGGCTCTAGCTGATTGACGCTGATCTGTGGGAATCAAAGCAGAAAAAAAAGAAGGTCATCAGTGCAAATAGAAATGCGTTTAAATAGCAGTCAGACATAAAACGCTAACATACAGTATGTGTAGATGGATCCATAAAACTCTACTAGCAAATTTGTAACAGTTTCATTTGTACCTAAATATATTCTTAAAGGCTTCAAATGTTCTGTATTTACAGCTAATGTGTAAAACGAGCCAATTTGGCAGAGGAAAGTCTAATTTGAGGTTCGCGGCTCCTAATATTTGAACCAGAGACAGATGGCTGTTGGAGTTGGAGGCAGAATCCTAATCAGACATCTTGGTAGGTGTGAAATGGGGAAGTGGGACAAATTGAGTAGGCAGGGGGTCCAGGGGAACAGGGCATTCATGTTGCTTTTTAGGGAGTTTTTTTCACCTGCTATCTTAGCGAAAGTGCAAAAAAAAAAGGGACTTGTGAGAGAAAAACAGGCCCCTTTCGTGGAGTGGGAGGCAGCTTTTCACAGGACTGTCAGCAACACATATGTCTGAAGTTTTTGTGCCATATGGCTGTCTGAGATATTTCCAGTGGTAATTAATTCCTAAACATTTTAAAGCCAGGGCTGCTTGTCTTGTGTCAGCGAGTCATTTGGCAAAGACAAGACAAAAAGATAGAGACATGGAGTGAAAAACAAAACGCCATTTAATGAGTAGTGTGACACATACTGAGGCAATAAGGCTCAAGTTAGATCTTAACCTGCATGGCTTCGATGAATGG